ATGCTTTGCTACCCTCATTCTCTGCTCTCACACCAAACCACATACCTGAAATACATTTAATTACAGCCTCTGCCTCTTTATCTGTACTTCTATACTTACAACGCGCAGGCCAGCCCCAATGCTGCATGCACCAGAACTCTGCCTACTTCCTGACACCCCTGACTAGCCAATGAAGTATGAAATCCATAACAGCTAACATTTATGTAGCACTTACCATGTGCCAAGCACTGGCAAATATTATCTCATTTGATCCTCACAACAACCCTAGGAGGGAGGTGCTATTCTTATTCCCATATTAAAGATGAGGTAACTGAGGCAAACAAGAGTTAAATGACTTTTTCAGGGTCTACAGCTAATAAGTGTCTGAGGCCAGATTTGAACTGAGGTCTTCCTGAATCCAGGCCCAGAATTCTATCCACTGTGCCACCTAGTTACCCTTTGCAAATGTTTCCATAATGGTAAGTGGTAGGGAAGAAATCTTCCTGCTCAGATAGCATCACCTTCATCTCTTCTCCTTTCCAAGCCCCCAAAGGTCCCAATCTCCTGACACTGGTATTGAAGATATTTGTTCATTAAACTGTACCGGCCGCGCCGACCTTATGCCGGCCGCGCCGAACACTCCTCCTATAAGGAGCAGGCTGCCAGAGTCATACTCACTCATCAGTCTTCGGTCCTCAACCGGATAAACACACAGAGACAAGCCATCAGGAGGCGCCAACACCAGAGCTTTATTCAGAGGCCATCACAGCAAGGCCAAGCAGGAAGGCCAGAGCAACAGAGCAGGAGCAAAAAGAGAGGGCGTGATCTGACCACGCTCGGTTCCTTAAGTACCTACTTAGCCCCTTCTCCCCAGCCCGCTTACTAGCCAATGATTGTAGGGTCAGATACCGGAAGGGGCTGTCTGAGTTTAGCACACCAAGGGAGAGGGAGTGACGCAGGAGGCTAGGACCGGATACAGGAAGGAGGCGTCTGGGATTAGTGCATAGACAGAGTATGTGACCTAGGAAGTCAGGAAGGTCACAGGAAGGAGGCGTCTGGGGTTGATGTTGCGTATAGGGAGGGGACTAAGCAAAGGGAACTCAGTCCTCTGCCATCCCACTCCCACATGGCACCGCCCCTTGCCTCAGGAGCACAAGCTCAGGCTACTTCCTTGAGATAAGCACCCAGCTTATCTCACATAACACTCCCCACTGCCTCAGGGCTTCTCTGTACCCAGCCCATCCCAGTTCAACACGACTCCGCCTACCACAGCCCCTGCCTCGACTTCCAAATACCCAGATCTTACCCTAATCTTGCCACAGCGCCCACCTGGCAGTTGCCAACATCAGACAGTCCCTCACATTAAACACCTGTTGTGTACAGAGCACTGTGCTAGGCACTGGAGGATGTACAACTTTAAGACAACTCATTGTCTGTGCCCACATGAAACTTAAAAGTTTAGGGGTTTTTAACCTAGGGCCCATAAATGTGATTTTTAAAATATATTATGATAACCATATTTTAATATAATTAATTTTCTTTGTAATCCTATGTAGTTTATTCTGTCCATTTCAAAACATTATTCTGAGAAGGATTTTCTAGGCTTCTTCAGACTCCCAAACGAGCCCATGACACAATAATAATATTAATAATAACTACCATTTCTATAACACTCCAAGGCTTGCAAAGCATTTTGCACATGTATCTCATTTAAAATTAAAAAAAAAACAAAACATCAAGAGCTCCTGGTCTAGAAAGAGGAGGAATGGGGGGGGGGGGGAAGTACATACAAAAACATGATATTTAAGTGTGTTAAAGAGTTATAAAACAAAGAAGTCCTGGAAGAAAGCCTTTACTGAGTGAGATAGAAGTGGGGGAGGAGAACAGGGAATGCTTCATGGTGGAACTAGAATGTGAGTTGTACTTTAAAGAATGGGCAGGATTTCAGCAGGTGAGGAAGATTGAAGGAGGGCATTCCAGACCAAGAAAAAAGTATGAACAAAGGTGTAAAAGCAAGACAATATTCTGAGAATGGGGGGAAGTAGGGGTGGCTGAGGCAGAGAGGAAACCAGTTTGGGTAGAACCTAGAGTTCTAGTTCTAGCATGGAAGAAAGTAGTATGAGATGGGGCTGAAGGTTCAATTGTATTATACTGTAAAGGGCTTTGGATAAGGATAGAAAAGTTTGACCTTAAGTGCCAGGCAGTAGAGAAATACTGAAAAATTTCAACAAAGAAGTGATATGACTAGATCTGTGATTAAGAAAGATTCTTCTGGCAGGGCTCTGCCAGCTGGATTAAAGTGGGAAAGAGTGAAGGCAGGTAGACCTATTAGTAGATGTTTATAGCAGTCCAGGCAATGAAGACATTTTGGCGAGAATATAGAGTAAAGACAGACAGAAGTGCTGTTGTGGAGGTATATTATTTTGGGCAGAGTACCCACAGATACCCTATGTAGACAAGGAGAGGAGGAAGGGAAGGAAAGAAGGAAGGAAAGAAGGAAAGAAAGAAGGAAAGAGCTGTGTTGTCCAACTAGAACTGGCCAGTTGGGTCCCCAGTGGGGTAGGTTATGCTACTCACTGTTGTCTATCCTTCATTCTTGAAGAGGACCATGACATCAGGAAGGTGGTTAAATGGAGGCATTAGGTCAACACATCTTTTTCAAGTTTAGTGGTGAGAAAAAAATACAAAGAGACAAAGAAACAAAATGGACAGGATATAAAGGTTGTGAGAAGGCTTTTAAAGGAATAATATTTGTAGGTAGATGAGGGAGAGCCAATAAAAAGGGATAGATTGAATATCCCAATGCCCTCAAACATTTCCACTTTAAAGACAGAGAAATCTGCAGCATTAGAGGAGACTTGTGATCTTTTTATTTTCAAGAAATGTGGACAAAAAGTAGGGATTCACTACTGAGCTTTCACTTTAAAATTTGAAGTTAATATGAACTACTAATATGTGCTAATTCTGTAGCTTCTTTTTTTTTAAAATTTCTTCAGTTGTTCATTTATTGTGATTGAAAATACTTGCCTGCCTTAGAAGAATGGGAGATTCAGAATAGGGATAATGGAGCCATAACTGGGGGATTTTTGTGCCTGGGAACTCACCACTGTCAAAAAGTCCAAAGTTTTGGGGAGACTGGTTAAATGCAACAGAGGTCAGGTCACCAACACTCCCTATATCCTGCCTCCTGCCCCAGGACTAACTTTCTAGGATTGACTCTGCAATCTTGGCTTCCTGTTCATTCAGCTCCAAAACAATCTGGCCTTCAGTTTACACATATTTGGACCCTGATTTAGACCCTGTACCTGTGACTCTTCCAGCCTGGTGATTGCCCTTATTTTTTGTTCAGCCCCTTTCAAGGAATAAGACACTAGTAGACTGTGAGCTCTATGAAGGCAAGGACTTTCTGTCCCCAAACATCTAATGCAGTATTCAATACCCGATAAATGCTTAACAAATGTTTGTATATTCAAATTTTTAATTGAACTGAAAAAAATTCCCTCTACTCCTCTTATAGTTTATATTTAAATTATACATTATATATATTACATTATATAATATCATATTTATTATATCATATTATATTTAAATATAGGTTATAGCTTAAATTTCAAGCCTTACTATGGTTTAAGGATGAGCCATAACGATTTGTTAGCTTTTGTTTGATTATGTAGCATTTGATCTTGCCAAGACAAGATACTTCGGTTGAACTTTATTTAAATTCGGCCAACGCAATTCTTCCTCTGGTGATTACTTGGTGTCTGTATGCCTGTGTCAACATCTGAATTGGAATCTCTTGTAAGATTTTCAAGAGCAGGGACTATGTCACTTTTCCTGTTGTTCCCTCACAGTGGTCTCAGATTGCAGATTCAAATAATGACAGAGCCTGTTAAAGCCAATATACACATGCACAGGTGATCAAAGTTACCTCTATTTTTAGTACTGTGATATCCAGGTTCAAGGGCATTCATGTTTGCCTGTTATATTGAATTTGGGGCCCATTAACTGGAAATCCCAGGTCCCAAACATATTGATGAATAGGAGGGAACTTTAGGCACAGAGCCACCAAATTCAGTTCTCAAACTTAAGATATTTATCTATGGACCATCTCTTTATAGATGAAGATCCTAGAGCTTAGATATCTCTTTGAATGAGATAAGAGTTACAATTGACCAGAGCCATGCAAACCATGCAAATAGAAATAGTCAAGGATCTCCAAACTGCTTATCATTGGAAAAATTTATCGCTTTAACAACAAAAATTTCCTGGTGATGCTATATGCCTGTGAAAACCTTATAGTAATTTTTTAAAAAGAAGTTATGTAACTTCCTTGGGAAGAGGAATCTATTATAATAAATTTATGCCAGTAACTGCTTAGATGCTGAATATATGTAAATATTAAGACCATTTTCAGCCTTTGATGTAAGCATTTTGGTATATTCCAGGTGGATCTAACATTCTGAGGGTGGCATTCAATTGCCTTTGAATATTTCTATAGTGGCCTTAGACCACATTATTCAGCTTTATCTTTCAAATATTTTATTAAAATTTCAAAAAGTTTCCAAGTGATTGAAAATTACAAAACTACCATCAGATTAGTCTAATACTGATAAGACCTCATCTATTCCTAAACTAGGTTATTTTCTAGTTAGTGTGTATGTGTGCTGTGTGTGTGTGTGTGTGTGTGTGTGTGCAGTGTGGATTTTAAAAACTGATAACAAAAGCAGGGATGTACCATCTTAGAATGGCAAATCCATCTTAGAATGGCCAATCCATTGTTTTACTGCATGAAGTTATAAAAACCTTAAAACATGAAAGATGCTTCCAGATCTTTTACTCAAGATCTTCACTCAAGCTAAGCTCCAATTCAGATAGGGAAATCTGCCTGTGTAAGAGTCCCAAATTAAATAGAAGGTAGATCATTAGTTCATTATTTTGAAGGATATACCACATTTGTATTCAAGTATTACTTTTCTAAGTGCTGAAGTAAAGAAAATGTCTCCAATCCTTCTCTCTTTCAGATGTTTTATCCCAAATGTCTATGCAGCTCTCTTCACTGCTGCTCTTATTCCCTTGATGTGTCTTGTGGTAGTATTTGTGGTCTTCATCCATGCCTACCAAGTGAAGCCTCAGTGGAAAGCTTATGATGATATCTTCAGAGGACGAACAAATGCTGCAGGTATGAGATGATAAAGTGGGGCAGTTCTTAACAATAAGAAAGAATGCTAGAACACAGTGTTGACCCATTTTCATCATAACAGGAACTGTAATATTACCCATTAGTCCTATTATCTAGCTCAGGCACTGACCATTAAAGTGAATGGTAGGCTGAACTCATAGGCCAAGAAACAGGTTTCTGATTTTCCTTCCTCCTCGAGGTTGCAGGAGTCCCTTCTTGATTCCTTAAGCTTGTAAGCAGGTGGGATGTCAGAATATCTGTTGTTCAGGCACTAGATATAGTGTGCCAAGTTTCAGATTTTCAAGGAAGTGATACTCAATCCTGAGGAAACCCCCTTACTAGTTATTTAGAGGCCTCTGCCATATGGGCAGGTCATGACCTTTGATCAGTACAACAGAACAGCCAGTCAGAGGATGCTGTGTCTACCTTATCTGTGTCTCAGAAGATAACATTTGAGACTTCCTAACTCCTTTCTCTCTGGACTTTCTATGGAAGTACTTCCCTGTCATTTCTATTGCAAGTAGGTTTCTTTTGGTTTCTTGCTGGTTTCTTTTCCACAGTGCTCTTGGACTGTATCATTCAGACAGCGTTTCAGGTATCAGTGGTTAAGTAAACTGCCAAAGAATGGGTGCTTAAGGAATGGGTTTCATATATTGGAGTTCCAGCAACTCTTCCATGATTTGTGAAATATCTTCATTCCTCTCAGGTTTCAAAATCTTCTTTAGAGTCAGATATACTCCCAAAATGTCCTTCAGTGGTATCTTTTGCATTTGGAGAGCTGATTTTGCTGACAAATGTGCAAAAACATATGTAATCAGACAATTTCATAAGTGACTACACATGTCTGGATGCTTAAGAACTCAAGTTTTTCCAGCCTAAATTGGCATTCATTTTAGTTCATTTTTTCCTTGCTGAATCATACTTAGCACAGGTTTTTATGATCTCCTTCATTTTTGGTTAGATTAGACTCCCTTTGGATTCTCTCAGCCAGGCACAGCAATAACAACACACACCTACGCACTTAAAAATAGCTCAGAGAAGGGTGGGGGAGTGGTTGGCTGGGCAGGCAAGGAGAATCTTTAGCCTCTTGATGTGAATGCCCAAAGGACAGTGGAGAAGGATGTCAGAAATTGCAAGCATTCCATCATTCCAATTATGTTGCGCTTGTAAAGATCATGGAATATACTTATTTTTCTATATTCTCTTATATATGTATGTGTGTATGTATTGTTTTATCATATAGAATGCAACTTCCTTGAGGACAAGGATTTTTTATTTTTATTTTTTATATATCCAATGCCTAGAAAGGTGTTTGACACAGTGGGCACTTTATAAATGCTTGTTTATTGTGGCAGATAGAGCATGAAAGGAGAAGGAACATGTAAGGATCAGAGGAAGGAGCTGGGTATTTTTAGTCTGTAGAAAAAAAGGCTCGGGGGGACATGATAGCTGTCTTAAAGTATTTGAAGAGCTGTCATATGGAAGAGGAATTAGACATGTTCTATTGGGTCCCAGAGGACGGAAGCAGGAGCAAAGGATGTAAGCTGCAAGGAGGCCAATTTAGATGTCAGAAAAAAATGTCCTCACGATTAGAGTTGTCCATCAGCACAAAGTCCTGCCTCTCAAGGTGCTGAGCTGTCCCCACTGAGAGGTCTTCATGCAGGGATTGAATGGCCACTTGTCAGGTTTTAGTGGCAACTCCTTTCATGTAGGGATTGAATTAAATGGCCTTGCAGCTCCCAAATTCTTTGATTCTTTGGAGGGTATACTTTGCTATCTTCCTTTACTCATCTTTTGGCTGAGAGCTAGTCTTAGAACCTAGAAAGGACAGAGAAAAAACAGAGGAATAAGTTCCCCCTAATAAAGAGAGAAAAGATAGATTATTTTGGGAGCCTTACAATTTTGTTCTTCATGGCCATCTCTTTTCTTTTCTTTTCTTTTATTTTGGTGAGGTAGTCAGGGTTAGGTGACTTGCCCAGGGTCACATAGCTAGTAAGTGTCAAGTGTCTGAGGCCGTATTTGAACTCAGGCAGGTCCTCCTGATTCCAGGGCTGGTGCTGTATGCCCCGTGGCCATTTATTAAAGGAGGTTCCAGTGGCATTCTCCAGTCGTAATGCTTACATGTCATTTATGACCAAGATTGATTTTTAAAACTCAAAAGACCAAAACTGTCTCATGCCTTTCTTTGTATCTTCAGAGCTTAGCACTGTACCTGGCACATAGTAGGCATTTAATAAATGTTTATTGACTGATTAAGTGACTTCATGTGGGTAGAAAACAGGATACACCTTGAAAAGGGCTTTTTGGGGTTATGGGATAATTTTTGCAAATAAGATAGAAACAGAGAGGCCTAGTGAAAAGAGCAGTGTCCTCAAAATTAGAATTCGCAATAAATTAAAATTAAGCAAACATTTATTAAATACCAATAGATTAGACAGCTAATCTAGTAGCAATAAATACCAATATTCTAGACAACTAGTCTCGGGGCAGCTAGGTGGCTCAGTGGATAGAGTGCTGGGCCTGGAGTCAGGAAGACTCATTTTCTTGACTTCAAATCTGGCCTCAGATACTTCCTAGCTATGTGACCCTGGGCAAGTCACTTCACCCTCTTTGCCTTAGTTTTCTCATCTGTAAAATGAGCTGAATAAGGAAGTAGCAAACCACTCTAGTATCTTTGTCAAGAAATGGGGTCACAAAGAGTCAGACACGACTGAAAAATGACTCAGCAGCAACAAATAGAGTAAACCCTCATTGCTTCTCATTTGAACAATTCCAATAACTTTCTCCTACCTTTAGGCTTGTCTATCCCCAGTCTCAATTTCATTTCATATGCACTGTACTTCTAACCTCCACATGTGCAGCTTTTATCTGTCATACTCCTCCTCAAAATCTTTTAATGACTTATTACTGCTTTCCAAATAAAGTTCAGACTCCTAAGGCTGCCGTCAAAGGCCTTCCAACTTTCAGTTTTTGCAACTATGTTTCAAATTGTTCACTTTTACCTGTAATGCACACCAGTCAAAGTGAAATCTCTTCCATATACCTGTTCCACTCTTTTCTGCTGCCAGTTTTTTGATGACAGTATTCCCTATGCTTGAAATGCCCTTTCCTGGCCATTTCCTTTCTTTTGGAAGTCTCCCTATCCCATAATGTCCAGTACAGATGCTACTTCCTTCATGTCTATACCCAATCATCAATAAGCTTTATCCCCCATGGAAGTCTCAAAGCATTTTGTTTATCCTATTCTTTGACCATGGTACTCATGGTTTGTTTTGTAATGGTACATATCTTAACTACCCTCCCTAATTATAATCCCCTTGAGGTCAGAGACAGTTCCTCATTTTTTTATTTTCCAGACTACATACCAGTCAATGGCTCTGCTAACAGAGTGCTTTACAAATCGTTGATATTTAACAAATATTTATCTAATAATACAAAATTGATCTGAAAGATGGAGTTCCCCAAACAATTACTTATATGAGGAATCTGTGATTTCATCAGTGTGGGGCAATAAATATCTCATAACCCGTCTATGACTTAGTAGATAAGTTCCAACACTCAAAGTGGTGGTTCTTGAAGAGGCTGTCACTAGTTTGAATAAGCATGGCAGGAGATGTCTCCATTCTCTAGCTCCTGCCACCAGCTGCGGTTTTCCACCCATTTTTCCTGGCTTGACATTGGAGAGGTCATAGTAGCAGCTTCTGCTACTGCAAGTCCTGGGGAAATATTTAAAGGGGATTAGGCAGAAGAGGTTGGGAATTAGAAGGAGAAATAGAAGAACTCCCAAATCAACATAACAGGTCTAGAAGCCCAACTGCCCAAGAACCCTTCTTTGTTGCCAAATTCAATTTTCAGTATTTTTAATTTTTTAAAAAAATTTTTCATGATAATTAACACTATGCCATATACCAGAAAAAGATTAAGAACTTCTGAGATAAAAGTTAAGCAATCTGCCCATATTCACGTAACTAATAAGTACCAGAGGTGGGACTGGAACTCAGGGCTGGCTTGTTGACTCAAAGCTCAGCACTCTATGTACTACACCATACAACCTCCAAGCACCTGATTTATTACCAAGATATAAAGTACAACCAAGGGCAGTGATACCTTTCTTTATAATAAGATTAGCTATAGGGAAAAAATAAAATTCCCATAAATCTTGCAGAGCAGTGTTGGCATAAAGCAGAGGCATTGTTCCTTCACACTAAGCTGTAGATATGTGTGTGCCTAACTGTGCAGAACAAAAATACCTTGTACTCAGCTTCTCTTTGTCCACTTTGGGCTGAAAGTAAACAGAGCTAGCCTTAGGCAGAAAGAATGACAGAGTTTATCTTTGGCATTCCCAGGCTTCCTTTTCTCACCCTTTCCCAGCTTCCCTGCCTTTTTGGTGACCAATATCCACCTGATCTTCAACCCTTTCCCCCCTTTTAAAGCAAGAAAGGATCTAATATCGTTCGTTTTTCCATATCATATGAATCAGAATGGACAGGATAGACAGTTCCCATCCAAAGGAACCTGTACTCCTCTAGGGAAGATGAACCAGGAGGCATGCTATGCCTATGCTGAGTTGCTGCAGGAAGTAGAAGAAGGATTGGAGAATGGATTAAAGGAAGTCAGGTAGGAAGGAAAGAAGGAACAAACAAGTGGAACAAACATTTATTAAGCACCTACTATGTGCCAGGCATTGTGCTGAGCACTCTACACATATAATACCATTTGATCCTCCTTAGGAAGCAGGTACTATTATTATCCCCATTTTACATCTGAAAAGACTGAAGCATAATGAGGTTAAGTGACTTGCCCATGGTCATACATCTGGTAAATGTCTGAAACCAGACTTGAACTTGTGTCTTCCTGATTTCAGGCCCAGCACTTTATCAGCTGGTGGCTGGGAGGTAGAGGGCAGGAAATGTCCCTTTATTTTCCAGGACTTGGAATTCTTCATGCCTTAGAACAGGTCTACCTGGCAGGTTCCCTCTCTTCAGGCACTGCCTTTTCCC